AAAGTACGACAAAAGCGGAGTGCTACGGAGTGTACGAGTCAATCTAATTACAATTAGATTGACCTTAATGTGTAGGCACTGGACTCTGTTTTGCTAAACAATTAAAAGTAGTGGTCGTTAAAGAAAATGTAATTAAGACAGTTTTAATTATTTTCTACCATACTCTACTTAAACGACATTCTATAACTCGATACACGTAGGAATCGGCAAAAATAGATATCGCATCATCTCCACGTTGAAACTTTCAAATCAAGTTTATTACGATTTTTAAAGTACGAGTAAAATTACACATTAAAATTACACCTAAGTGAACTATAAATAAAACGTTTGAGCTATTTTCAGTGCACTCCGATATATATAGACTGTCTAAACTTGCCAACTGAATTGCTCATTTGTTTATCTCTTAAATAATTGAGGGCGTCGTGGATTTTGCAGAGGTAGTTTTATAGTCTGCTTCCACACTATTGAACACTCATTAACGAAAACAAGTGGGGCATGAAATTTGGTAGCTATGTCAAAATTCAAACCACCATTTTCTATGTATGTGATACTTGTGCCAGATAGAAACACGAACAAAAACTAAACGAAAATATGATTATCAAAATAAGTAATGGTACATTAAAATAATAATTACAAAAACAGATTCTAATATTACTTAAAAAGCTAAATGGTCTTTATTATGGTTGTTTTAAACAAAATATTAGAATCGTTGTTTTTGTTGTTCATCACTAGGAATCGACAGACGATTAATACATATCTCCTGTCGATTTCTAGTGATGAACAAAAGTAACAGGTTCGGATTCGTGTTATCGTCACATGTCTATATTCTATAATTGCTATATTCATCGTTTTAAATAACTGTTTCTATATGAAACAGTTCTTAGTAAATATATTTTCATCGTTTAATGGACTTGTAGAAATTTCTGATAGACGTAATTTTTGTTGTTGTGTCCATCCAATAAAGCTTTTTTTATTTATTCTCATATTGATGTTAAAGTAAAGCAAAATATATTACACAAATAATAAACACTCATAAATTAATGAAATGGAGTGATATTACATAAAATACAATATCATATTATTGGAATTAGTATAGTTACTATAATACTAAAGATGTAGAATAAATTTATCAGATCGGTCGTAAAAAACGCGCCACATGTGAAGCAGCCGTGGGAAGTTATTAGTTTGACAACAATTATATATGTATATATAAATATCGCCCCTACTACTGCATACTAGAGTATATATAGGAACGATTAACTATGGTTCTTTGATAACAGAGCTTGGACACAACTTTTTCAAGATTATCCCAGTTTCCGAATATTCCGCTTCGAATCGTAATATTTGGCATTCGAGGCCCCAGATTGATTAATGGCATATACATTGGGAAGGTTTTTCGGCCATGTTTAATCTTGGAATGAACTGTTCCCCAAAACTTGTTATTTATAGATCTACTATGTAATAAAGAATAATTTGATTTGTTAGTCAATATAGCCTAGCTATTTTCAGTTTCTAATTTTCATTCTATTTGTAAATGGATTTACTATAGTTTAATAAAAAATATTAACTTGAAGCATGACTAGAAATTGAGTGATTAGAGAGCCAATTCCTATAGTCATATTATATTATAAAACAAACAGTATTAGCTAATATAAATAAATTTATTTGTATTACTTATTCCTTCTTTCAATTTTCGTTTATTGTTTTGAATTTCATTTTAAGTCTGTTATTTTTATACGTCAGATTTTGCTTTGTTGCAAAAGCTCAATTAGCTTTTGATATCTATAAGGTTTTAGAGATAAAATGAATAATAAATACTGTAGTAACTAAATCTGGAAAAGCACTGTACTCATTAGTGTAATAAAAATTGCGTAGCAACTAAACATATTAAACATGAATCTCATAGTAATGTACCTACAGACATTAAATATAGCCTTATGTTGGAAATGTACCGTTTGATGACCACAAAACAGAAGTACTATCAACGTCTTAAATAAAGTGACTCAAAACTGTGTCGAGCCTCTTTTGTATGATGCACGAAAGAATAATCACGTAACTGTGAATAATTTAATTTCCATTTAGTAGACAACAATTGAATTTAAAAGTTGTCAAAGAAATTATAAATAAGTATTACAAAAGTCTTTTTTATTGATAGTATATTACCTGAATTTAATATAGTTATTAATAATAATAACACAGGACAACTCAGAGCGCTATCTAGTCTCAAGCTAAGTAGACTTAGTAATACGCGCTCAAATTTAGTAAGAAAATAATAACTTGTGGTATGAGTACTTGATAACGAATAGAAATGCCTACAGCCCTATATCTATTCTTGTATACATCTTTTTTGTCAATACATACATAATAGAATTTCTTAAAGTTATTTCTATAAGAATAATAACGCCAAATAAAGGATCTTTAATTATTTTAACGGATACTGATTAAAATATTTTCTAAACTAAATCTATTAAGTAACTTAGGCTGAAAAATATGCAATGAATATCGATATCGAACTTGAAGTTTCAAGGTCTTAAATTATAGCTCCGTACAAATGACGTGTTACCAGTCAATTATGAATATATAAGTAGCTATTAACTATTTCTAAGATACAATTACAAAAACTGTATCAGTATTTTTTTGATATCGTATCTGTATTGTTGGACGTTTTATTCTTTTAAAATTCATTGAAGTTTTTATATAATTATTAACTGGAGCAGTTCGTCTCAGTTTCTCATTGAGTCTCCCAAGTGCCGGTAAAATATTACAGTACTTTAAATTGCACAGCAAATGACATACTTTTGTGTGTTTGTTGTAACAAAAAAACGGTGAGTCATTGAGTTTCTCGCCATCTGTTGCATTGTCTGTCATAGATGCAATCCAAGGTCTTAATCTGCAAGTTGCTGTAGCTCTTATGTATTCGATTCTGACCATAAAGAGATCTTACTGTTAGTCACTCTGATGGGTCTGATGGGTCATAACCTTTTTTACTATTTTAATATTTTATATTGTTCATTGTTACCGTGTTGATCCTTATTGAAATTATTTAATCTATACTATGGATGTATTTAATCATGATAAATTCTATATTATAAACAATCATTTTTACCTAATTTTTACATTTTGCTAAAACCACTGTTACGTATTCGTAAACATGCCAGTCTTATACTACTGTTATCAGTTATACTGATAACATTAAGACCGTGTGAAGACTTACAATAACACTGTAAACTAGTATAAATATTTGCATAATACATATTTTCTAATTAGGTAAAGACATGTATTATATTCATTATGTAGAATTATGAACAACAATAATTCTAATTGCTTCCTTTTTTCATGCTCAATTCAATATTAAAAACATAAACTTGTTTTTTACCGATGGTGAAGACTGCAGATTTATTTACTTATTTATAAGGACTCGAAGTAATCACATTTTCAATAATTATTATATTTTTTTCTCATTGTTATCGAAAATCTACGTACATGTCGTTATTGCAGGTAATGTGTAATTATTGTGTTGTTCGCTTTATTGTTTTCATGTTCATCTGTTGGTTCAAGTGTTTTGGTGGCGGTATCGTTGTCTCTTTCAGGTTTACCTGTGACCGCTGAAACAGCTTTTTGTGCAATTATTTGGGATTGGTGAACGGCTCTGGGTATTCACTTTGATTAACAATATTGTTTTGTCTCTTTTCTTCCAGATGGATCCGTTGTCGTCGTCTCGCTCCGGCCTCTGCACTGGACTTGAACAAGGCTTATCTAGTTTTATATCTTTGGATAGGTTTGATTCGTTTGCTAGTGGGTATCTTTACGATTAGACGTGTTGTTGTTTGAAATATAATTCTTCGTACGGAAATTAATGTGTTTTGCGGTTAGTGGTTTCTAACACGTTGGTTTGTAGGTGGTATACGTCTATCATATTACTAACACTATCTACGTATTCAATGCTTATGTCTAAGTATTAAGGTTTATTTTCGCGCACATCTAAGATTTTGTCAACTAACACTTGTTCAGGAGGAGTATTATCAAATTACAGCTCATTACTCTTGTTTCACTTTTGGCATTTTATTTTCTTAAAGCCAAAGTTGTATTTGTTTCGTTTGGGGGATTTTTCTGAAAATGTTTATCGAGTTAGTGTCCGGCTTAGATAGTTGTATGATTACAACGTGACCTTTAACTGTATAACATTACAATTCAGCAGGTTACTGAAGGCATAGACATGAATTGGTTCGTATTCAAATAGAAAAATAACAAGTATTATTTTTGAATGCAGGTGACATAGAGTAGAAAATACATAAACTATATATGAAATCATATATCTTGGATCCCAAATAAAAGAACAACTACTGAAAATATTCTTATATTAATTTACTAGATACTACACCGATTTGATTTTGATTTCATCGCGTTAAGTCAGTCTGCCAAATTACTTTTCTTTTGGCATGTTATTGACGATATATTATTAGTTTGTGAGGTTTTATTTAATAATAAAACTAAGTAATTATATTGAAAATTATTTATCTTAAATAAAAAATCATCGCAGATCGTACATTACAAATTTATTGGTTTTAAGTTCAATCATTATTAGGTTACCCAAATTGTTCTGTTTATTGACATTTGGGTATTTTATTATATTCCTTTCTTTAATAAAAATCTTAGATTAAAAATATCAACATACATTGGTACTGTAAGACGTTTATCGGTGAATTGTGGCTCATTAGTTGTTTAACTTATCTGTTATTGATTTCATATCATAGAAATAGTTGTGAAGTAGAAATAGGCTTTAGTGCGTCATTAGTCGGCTGAATTTTAGATGTGGTCATATGACGTCAGTGGTAAATGAACACCGGTATACGGCGTTGCTTTCCTCCTTCGAATTATAGTTCGTGGCAAGGTCATTCGATATCGATACCCGTCTCTATTTGTTACGATTAGGATTCATTCAGATGTGAATAATTACGTTCTTGCCTCATTATCTTCTGATAGTCATATTTGTATTGCAGATTTATGGAATTACAGTGATTAAATGATAAGAGCGATCAACAAATAGAATATGAACAGTTTTAAAAAACTTTAATAGTGCAATGTTTTAATCAGTTAAATTTTTATAGTGACATGTTATAAATATGGAAAGAAAATTAACTCGCGAAGATTTTATGCGCAAAAGTTTCCGCGCCCCTCGGCTATCTGCATCGCAACAACCTGCAGAGTCGACAGTTAATGGGGCACCACCGCCGTCTCCCGTCTCCCTAGTTATGCTTGACAGAACTACTCAAAGATCTCCGTATGATGTTCACACATCGGGCATATCACCGAAACGTCTCGAATTAAATAGAGCACATCCGATACATTTGAAGTCATTCCAAACACCAGAGCCACCAGATGAGAATGCTCCCGCGCCGCCATCAGACGATGTTCTTCTAAAACTTGAACGACAGATAGGCGAAATGGAGAAAGGCTTGGAGAGAGCTCAAAATGGGAATGTATCGGTTGACGAAAGAGTGAGGTATGCTGAACATGAAAATTTGTTACGGACTGGAGTGTCTGCTGTTGGCGGTGGAGGTTACTTACCAGCAGATTCGGACACAGAACATGACTCTGTGCCGTTCAAAAGAAACGAGACGACCAGAAGTAGCACGGGTGGGGCTACTCCAGTACCCCGACCTGCTACCAAATTGTCTAGGACAAATTCAGATACGCAACAACATTCAGTTGCGGCGACTGCTAGGTTAATGCGGAAGTTCGCCGACGGTGGTACAAAGGACGAAAAAACTAAAATAATTTCTCGGAAAGCAATTCAAGCAAGAATAGAGAAGGTTAGGAACTCTGTAGGAGGGTCAAAGCATGAGCATAGAGTATTGGCGGAGCATAAGGCTGATGCGTCCTCGCCCAGGACCCCAGCGTCGCCTATCGCCTCCAGAACATCTCAGGTAATCTCCCTGTGAACGTCCTATTTGTTTGTAGGTCTTCATATGATGATTCATATGATTTCTGAATGAGTAAAGATCTGTTTTATACTGTAACTAACTTCATTTATCTCAAAATATGCAAAGGTAGATATTTATGTATACTATAACTTTATAATCAGATATTAACCAGGACAGCCAAGTTTTAAAGTGGTTGTTTTTTAAATTTATTTTCGCTACCTGACGATATCTCTTGTTTGTCTTGAGGCATTACTCTACAACGATAATTTTATGTTTTTATTGGTGTCATCACATAATAGGGAATGCGGAAACGTACTTCATTCTGGCTTCTGTCATACGGCTAATGCTAGTTCAGAAGCCAGGACTACACAGAAATACTGAAGGGATTAATATTGTCTTGAAAGTGTACTTATTGTATAAATGGTATTATAACGATCCTTCTGAATTAAATAAATATTATTATTATTATTAATAAAGACATTAATTAAAGAATACCGTTTCATACATTCATGAATGTAAATATTGAATTATAATATAAACAGCGTCAGTTTCTGACTTAGATGATGTATAAAGTTCACCCGATGATGAAGTGCTAGTATTTCGTAAAACTAATAGAAAGTATAGTCCCCTTGGGTAATTCCAGGAGGGAGGTTAGAGGCGTTTGGCATTTTAGCTTATTAGAAATTAAGGAAGAATGCCGTGTGCCTTCTATCGTCGCTCTGTGTAGTTTTATTTATTGTTTATCACTACTGGAAATCATATTGCTTGCTATAAATGTCACGTTAAGTTCTGTTCCAGAACTTTTCGTGCCTCTAGTATACCAGAATTATTCATGTAGGACCTCTCGGGCTCTTAATACTATTTGATATCACGGCTACTGTAAAGGGATTTAACTAAAATAAATGTGTAATATTGTATAAGATTGTACAACTAATAATATTTCTCTTTCAACAGGTAAGCAGTAATTGTTTTGAAACCATGAAATTCCAAAGCGGTGAGTTTTATATTTATATATAAAGCTAATTTACATACAAGCAGTCTAGATTAATATTAGGTAAGCTTATTTAGTTTGTAATAACTAAGATAATAATAAATAACTTATGACAATGATTCAATTACAAAAAAAAAAAGCAAGTATTAATATAGTAATCGTAGTCTCGTGGGCTGTATTTTTGTACGAAATATAAGACACATTTTGTTACAACAAAAAAGTTCCTAATGATCTATCTATGGATGGACTTGTCGACATGTCGTATCCTAAGTTATTATACGCTCTGATCCTGCGAATTTTATTTATATAAGAATCTAGCGTGAAATATAGTGGACAATTTCTATCCGCCGTAATGTGATTAGAAAATCACATCACATTTTTGTTAATAGTCTAAACTTTTTACGATGCTGAATAAATTTCAATTTGTCACGAAAGTAAATACGGCTTAAATATGTTTTTACTTATTGAAATTTAAGAATTTGACCTATGAACTATTTGACAATATCTTTTTAATGGATGATAATAGAATAGTGCACCCGTCTGCGCCCACGGTTTATGCTGGCGTGACACCAGTGGAAGATGAAAGGATGAACTTTCGGACAGGTCAGTCAGCCCATCGTGACAAATTCACTAGGAAATTATCATGATCAAGGGTCACCGTATGGAGGTTAACCTGAAAAATCAGAACGATTTGGATTTTAACATGCTTAAAATAAGTAGCTATTTCAATAGCGTTACATATTGGAGTATTTCGGAGTACAAGTAGGTCGTGTTACGCAGAAAATGCGCCGACCCGATCAAAGGGGCTTTCGTTTCTGTCCCGAATCTATATAGATTCTTTACCGAGTACCCACCCATATGTATGTTATTAAATGAAAAGTTCGTGACTCATTTCGCTACATATTATTTTACCTAGCACATACACGTGTCTGCGCCGAAAAAAACAAGATTTAACCTTGAGATGAAAAATAGGCTCTTTAACACGTTGAAGACCATATTGAAAAATCTTATGTCTCACACCAGGACTGATATTTTTTTATTGTTAATTACGTGAGGCTATGTCAGATTAACTAAGTCCGCTATATGTAGTATCTCTTCGAGGGACCAGCGAATGAAATACTGTACATAAATTGAAATTTAAGTCATGCCCACAGGTGTACAAATAGTCTCCAGGTAAAACATGTCATGTGCCCACCGGTGGGCATGCGGTCTTTAACGTGTTAAGATGCAGTTACAGCATTATATGATATATACGTCGATATTGAGCTACGATCAATGAATGCTGAAACGATGATTGACGCCCCTTGGGTCAGCCCAAAGGTTTTCTCAAATGTTTTATGCCCGCAATTTTTTTGCTAAGCTAACGTAGGGATTCAATGGGGTTTACGCAAAGTTAAAATATGAAATGTAGTACATTATTTTGACGTTCGTTTGAGAGCAGTTTTCCTGTTCGTTTCAAAGCAGTTATCCTGAATATGTAATGGTTAGTGTAAGTATTATAGAATATATTAACTTTTACATGATTTTCATATTTTTTTTTTCAATTTTATCATTTATTAGGAATAATGCCTAGAAATCGAGTACGGTGTGAAGTAGTTTTTGGTAGTCTCTGGAACTATACTGTATGTATGTGATATTTTTTATTATACTTTGTTTCATTATGTCATTATACTCTTTAAATATATAAATATCAAATCCTGTTAGTTCAGCTGAACCCAAAAATAAAATGGCATGATCGAATTCAATATATTTTTTCCTCGTTTTCTTCTTTGTAGCTTATGTATATTTATATCAAAAGAAACAAGGCTGAAGTTCTATTAAGAAATCAGAAAATAAAATGGTAATTTAGTATGGGAATAACTTCTTAAACTATATTTATTATTAATAGAGTTGCAATCAATTATTATTGTTAAATATAAATTGTAGTTTGAAGGTTGATTGGATTTTTAATAACTGATCAAAAGTTGTAGTTAAGATATATTGTAGTTGAAACGAAGTTCACCGGGTCATTTAGTTAGAAATATATATTAGCTCTGTATTATGTATTCTCAGAAATAGATACTGGCTATATATTATGTATTCTTGATTCAAATGTTTCAGCATATCAAAACGGTTATGTAGAACAGCGCGACAATAGCTTCCTATATTTTTCCTTTTTAAATCTAATCTGCCGACACTGTTGCCGCAAGTTAATCGAGAAGAAAAATAAGAAATTCTGTAACAGAATAAATAACTTTGCTCGTTATAATTTCAAATCTTCCTCCTGTTAAGTCCTCTCTTAGCAGTTGTGTCAAGTTTTCAAGAAAACAGGCTCGCAAAATACGCTGATTCGTTTATCTCGCTGTTCCTTCATTTTGAATAATGTTACATCTTATTATAAATAAGGCAGAATATCGGATAACTTTAAATAGAATGCTAGTTGCTAAGATCTTATTACATTTTCTAGATAAGCAGCTGGATTTTGTTCATGTGATTCGGGCGGAGTGAATGATGGATAGAAAAAGAAGCATAGACATAGACTTAATACTTTAGATAGAATATGCTTTATTTGCATTAAAAGTTGTGTCTGCGGTTTTAACCACGTGATATTTATGGCGTTTGTATTATTCTAATGTATAAGCGCGACAGAGTAACAAACATCCATCCACATTGACATACTTCCGCGTTTATAATATTTGAAGGCACATTAATAATTCAGGGCTAGTTAATAAAAGTTAGTAACGAGCTAAAAGCTAGGTAGAGGACTCATGAAACGAAACCGATCTTCAAAAGAAGCAAAGTGGAGCAATTAATGTTGACTAATTCTGGCTTTAAAAATACACTTTTATAATATTAACTCTACACTCTAACCTATATGGCAAATTTGGTAATGCTATTAATATGCTACAAGTATTACAACAAAGTACAATTTCTTTTTAAAAATTCATGTATTTTTACATTAAAATCTGGTTTATGGGCGGGTTTAATACCATTAACATTCTGTTATCAAGCGACCATTAGCAATATTAGTAATGCAGAACATCTAGTATCTCTGATACTCGAAGCCGGTTAAGCTTAGCTCAACATTTTTGTAAGCCTTCCTTGAATCTAGATTGATTTCTTTTTAATTTGAACTCTTTATCTTCTATTTTCGTGACTTCGGATAGTCGTGAATTTTAACAAATCTATACGTAAATTTATATGATTTCTAATTGTAGTCGTCAAGCCTCTATGATAATAGATCAGAGACAGTATAGAATTCTTTTTAAAGTATTTTCAAAAAGAATATTCCCTCTGAGTCTCTCTGAGAAGCTAATAACATGAGCTCTCGAAGCTCATGTTATTAGCTTTAACACCACCTTTTCTTACAAATTTCTATAAAGTAGTGAAATTTTAAGGTTTAATAGAAGAATAAATGTTTGTATGTTTACTACAATTTCACGCATAAGCTACTAGATAGAACATATCGCACTCTTTATACAATACTGTGCATTAACTCAAAAGGTATAAATTGTAGGAAATCGATTCTTATTAGAATCTTCTTAGAACTCGACATTAAAATTATTAATTTTAAGTTCATCTAATTCTACAACTTTTGAATTCTAATAATTTGTAATTTTTCATTTAATGCAGTATTGTATTTAGCATGCGATATCCAAGATTCATATACAGGATTGACTATATGCTATTGAATTAGTTTGAATAGTGCCGTGTAATACAGCTAGTATAATATGTAAATTATAGCCACGTTTTTATGTTCATTTTTTGTAGTATTGTAGCGGAATTAAAGAAACAGTAGAGCGTCGGCCATTTGTGAATTCAACGTGTGTTCCACGATCAATACGTGTCTGGCTGTCTCGGTTTTGTTATTCTGCGTGTGCTCTGTCTATCTGTCTATAGCACGTGGCCTTGACATTCAAATTTTGTTAAAAAGTTCATTCCACTGTTTCTTTTATTTTTGGTTTGTTCTATTCACACGGATTCGTTATATATGTACTCGTTTCGTTATAAATATTTTCGTCAATTACATTTT